AGAGTGAGACTCTGTCTCAAAAAAAAAAAAAAATAGAAAAATTAGCTGGGCATGGTGGCATGCACCTGTAGTCCCAGCTACTTGGGAGGTTGAGGCAAGAGGATCGCTTTAGCCCAGGAGTGTGAGGTCGCAGTGAGCTATGATGACACCACTGCACTTTACCCAGGGTGACAGAGCAAGACTCTGTCTCAAGAGAAAGAGAGAGAGAAATTTCTTCAAGGTTCATATCTACTTCCTTTTTTTTTAAATTTAACTTTTACCCCTTCTTCCAGGATCATACCTATTTCTCCTGAAAGAAAGGAATTTGCCTTACAAAGGATAGTTTAACTGAAGAAGGCTGCAGAAAATGGGCTTAAAAGTAATGAAATGGGATCTGCTTCTAGTAAATTACATAGGCTCAATCTTGTCATATTAATTAATAATTAGTCATTTGCTCTAGTCACAAAGGTGTTTAACCTTCAGAAAGAACCATATTTTTCTAATTATGTTTCAGACACTTCAGAAAAAACAAAATCCTTTAATCAACAAAATCCATCATATTACTTAAATCAGAGATGCTCACCAAAGAGAAGAGGTCATTCTGTAATCCAAGTCGATCCACAGGGGGCAGAGAAAGGTCACGAATGCCCGGTAATAGACTTTCCAGCATGGAAGAGCTGTACTGGGTCCGATAAAACCCAACTGTTCCCAAGTTTAACTGAAAAGATAGTTAATAAGTACTATTAAACAGTTCCACTTATTTTTTAAATCAACCTTTTGTTAATTTTGTATGTGTAAAAGGAGTTGTGGTTCTAGATATAATTTGGATGAAAACAAAGACCATACATGCTAACAGGGATTAAAACAAAACAACACATAAAGATAAACATCAGTTGTCAAAGATGAATACAGAGGCAAAAGAAAAAGGAAACTTGAAATAGTGGGGGCCAAAGTGAGGGAAAGTATAAAGAACATGGCAGGGGCAGAGAAAATAATATGAATAAATATCTATTTCTAACCTTAGTTTTAGGTTTATAGAAAATGCTTATTATATATAAAAATACTTAGTAGAATCTGAGAAAGACCAAGCCTTTACAATACTGATCTATTAAGCCCAGAGCCTACGCAGAATAACAATTTTCAGATCCTAAATTTTAAGGAATTACATGAACCTAAAAGGTAATTTCATTTGATTTTTGGAGTAAGGTAATCACTGACTGCAATTATCCTCTACAGGCTATGTACCAACAGCCAAAA